ACCCTGAATTCTTTCCTCTTTGGTTCTCACGTCTAATTAGACACCAAACTGCCAAGATCTGCAGCTTTCTCCTGTATTTGTATCTTTCTATCCCTCACCACTTCCCTTACCTCAGAACTTACCTATCTAAATTACATACCTGACTGCCAGTAAAATTCCTCTAAAGCCACAATTCTGTCCATTATGCATCCTGACTGTTCAAAACAGTCAACTTGCATAGAAAACTTGTTCGAACTCTTTGCTCTTGTCTAAATACTATGGTTACAATCTGCCTTTTCAATATTTATCCCATTATAACTCTTTATATTTCTTATAACCCCAAATTAATTATATTTATATTTCTTATAATCCAAATTAATTGTGGCTCTCTAAACATATTTACTTTATAGTTGAACAATACTGTACCTTTCCCCCATATTTTGAAATCTAGTTCATTTCCTCCCACCTTTTAGATAGCTCAGGAAGCAAAAATTATGCCGATACTAGAACTGCTCTTTTGTAAGCACTTAAAACTTTCTATTTACATAAAACATGCTCAATGTACATACAATCATTCCTTGGTAGCTGTGGGGGACTTGTTCCACAACCCTCTGTGAATACCAAAATCCATGGATGCTCAAGTTCCCTATAGAAAATGACACAGTATTTGCCCATAATGTAATGTATGTAATCCCCTATATACTCTATCTATTGCACCACTGGCTCCCCTCTCATATACTTTAAATAATCACTACATTACTTACAATACTTAATGAAAATGCTTTGTAAATAGTTGTTAATACTACATTGGTTTTTTAATTTATATTATTTCTTACTGGCTTTTTTCAGAATATTTTTGACTTGCAGTTGGTTGAAGCAATCCAAAAAATGCAGAAAAGCTGACTGCATATCCTTTTAATTAATCATTAATCTTAGATTTTAGGAAGAGAAACTGACAAAAAAGCTGGGCGATGGAGCTTTGCTCCTAAAAATAAAAAGAGAACTCACAATTCAAACCACCGCCCACAACCCAGTTAGGAAAAGAAGAAGCTAGGAAAATAAGCTGCCCAAACCTTAACAGAGAGGAGGAATGTGGGCTACATGGCGTGGGGAATGCACGGTTCCATCAACACAGAAGAATGTACAAGGGTAGCAAGGGTGGTATGTTGACCTTCTATTCTACACTGATGAATCAAAGCACCAAATAAAACTGTAAAAATCTAGAAGAAAACATTAGGGGGAAAATCCTACTTGTTTTAAGAAGGAAAAAACAAAATGGGAAAGAAAAATCACAAAGGAAAAGTTTCATAGGATCAACTAAAAGTTTAAAATATCTACATGATTAAAAATAGAAAAATTAAAAAGTGAATCATCAACTTAGAAAATATTAGGCGTATATATCTTGGCACATACAGCTAATACAAAAGCCTAATAAGAAAATTCAAATAGAAAATTGAACAAAGGATATGAAACAGATAATTCAGAGGCAGTAAAAATATGAGTTATTGAGAAAGAAGCCCTTGAAGCCCTCATGTTTCCTGTAAGTGCCCAATTTCGCAATTAAATATCAACTTACAATTTATCAAAATAGATAATGGTGTTTTCAAATTATAACACCTACACAAAAGTGAACTAAAATGAGTTTTATATGATGTTAATGCAAGTAGAAATCCATGCTTAAAAAATGTTCAAATCTTTAATTCTGGTCATTTTAGTTCTAAAAAATTTATCTTAAAATACTCAAAAAAGGGGCTTGGCGCCTGTGGCTCAAGTGGCTAAGGTGCTAGCCACATACACCTACGGTGGCAGGTTTGAATCCAGCCCCAGCCCACCAAAACAATAATGACGGCTGCAACTAAAAAATAGCCTGGCGTTGTGGCAGGCGCCTGTGGTCCCAGCTACTTGGGAGGCTGAGGCAGGAGACTCACTTGAGCCCAGG